CAGTTAGCAAGGGGGGTTGTGTCTGTCAGTTAGCAAGGGGGGTTGTGTCTGTCAGTTAGCAAGGGGAGGGGTGTGTCTGTCAGTTAGCAAGGGTGGGGTGTATCTTTAACATCATGTTTATCAGTCACTCTGCCCTTGCTTGTTCTCCAGATTTTCATTTCAGCTTTGTTCTGTTCATATGCATGTTCTAAAAATGCAGCTTTGATACAAATAATTTCTTATAATGAATACATTTTACATCTTATAGTATTAACAGAATCACAGGTAGGTTTCCACTGTAGGCATATTGAAATGTTATTTTGATATTTGCATGAATGTTGGATATTCATCTAAAACTGGATGTTCATTTAACAAAAAAACTGAAGTGTTAACTAACAAACGATTCATAATAACATTTTGTATGCGTTTATTTTTACTGAATAAAGTAAAAAACTAAATGATGAGGAAGGGTAACATGAAGCCTCATTTCAAAAGAGACAGTAACAGATTCAGTTTTATTCATCATTGTAGCACAAATTCAAAGATGCAATTCACACGAGTGTCACGCATAATTTGCATTGTCTTTCAGTTGTGTGGCAACAATTGACAAAACAAGACAATTTATTTTGAGACGTTTATTAATAACTGAAAAGCTACTGTCCCCAAACTGGTTCCTATGACCACAGATGGCAAATATCTTTGTCTGAGGAAATGTACAGTGCACTTGACAGCATTCTTTGCTACTAAATATCTTAAGTTCAAATGCACAAGTACCATAATACCAAATATACAATCACATTGCAACTGCCTGGCAAAGGTTTTAAAAAAGTTTAATACACGGCAATCACACAAGAATATTCAAATTGTATATTTTATGTATGTAAATACATATAATTAATATTTGACTGAGTAACATTCATTGTTTTTGCCTACTAATACAGCAGCATCCAGTGTTAAAATAAAGCTAGTTCCTTTCAACATTTAGACATCTGTACATGAGAAAAAAATTAAAGCTGTATTGTACACTCTAATAAGAAGGCTTTGCAGTATTTTAGAGCCATTTTAATGTGTTGTTTTGAAATGTATTGTGTATACCTTGCATTACATTTATTTTTTGGGCGCACAGACAGCTGGTTGTGCAATAGAGGTTGTTCATTAATTTCTGTTTTTCCTCTTAAAAACCATGATTACAATTTTATATTTAAGACTTTTAGACTGGATATGAAATAAACATAAGTTTATGGGTTTCAGGCCTGTTGCAGGCTGATAAGCTAAATTATCGTGGGACTTAACAGTCTAGTTTTTTTTTCAAAATGAAAAACAGCTTTGAGATGTTTTCCGTTCCCTGTCTTGTAAATGAATTTATACCAGGTTAGTCTTACTAGTCATTCTGTATCTTTTCAGACCAGTTTAATAGACTTGAAGGAGCATGCTTCATCCTTGGCTTCAGCTAGCCTGAAAAAGGACTCCCGCCTGAAGTCGCTGGAGATAGCGATAGAGCAGAAGAAGGAGGAGTGCAGTAAGCTGGAGACACAGTTACAGAAGGTATGTAGGGTGGCAGCCCAGGGCCCGAGCTCGGGCCCCACACACACTTCGGTAGGGCCCTTGGGACCTGCTGTCATATTAGTGTAAACACCCACACCAATCCTTAACTCCAGTGGTGCTGTTTAGCTTTGAACATTCAAGCTTTACCCTAACTGACTTTACCCGAACCCTAATTGTCCATATTCATAGTGCTGGTGTGAATTAACAAACGTGAGCACGCTTACTCTCTCAGCTGTTGTACCGTTCATCTGCTCAGTTTGCTCCTGTAACCATTGAGCAGCTCTTTTTTGTTGTTGTTGAACTGAGGCAAAAAAACGCAATTTTATTAGGTAATTCATATCAGTGTTGCAATGAAATTCCAGTTTGTCTCGCTTCTTAAGCAGCCAAACAAGCTAAGTACTAAAAATATCTGTAATGTTGAAAGACTTTCAGGCAATAAAGAAAATTTCTCAGAAAGCAGTTTTGTACAATTACCTGATTATCTCCTTTGATTGACATTACATTGCCTCAGCGGGAATGGCCAGGATAATGTGGGCTGAAATCCCACATGAGTGAGCCAGATGTTGATACTGAAGTCTCAAAAAATGCTTCCACTTTGCAAATTATTACCAATGACTGGAAACTTTGCTTAAGACAAGCATCTGTGATCGGAGGAATACGAGAAAGACAGATTAGTGGAACCTGAATTAAAATAAAATTACTTCTCTTTAAATATTTAAATTCTGTTCTTTTGAAATATATATAGAAACATACTGCCCAATATATCTTTAGAATGACTCACAGTGTCTCGCTGTTGACTGATTTTGCCTCTTCCTCACGTCAAAACCCTGCTGTATTGTTTCCGTTCCTTTTGTTGTACTAATCTATACAGGTCTTCCAGTTTCTACTCTTCATTGTATAGCTGTGCTATGTCTGCTTGCTATGTCTCCTGTATTCTCTGCATCATGCCCGTTTCATCTCTATTCATGCCACAGCCCTATTTACTATGCCTGCCTCCCACCAGCATCCCTATTCTGTATATCCCTGCTTTCTTATGCTGCCATTTTTCATTGTTTCTGTCATCCTTGCTTTTTTGATTCTTGTCACTCTGTCTGTCAGCCACTGTCTCTCCAAACCACTGCAACTCTTGGCTCTGGGAGTATTTTTCTAATATTAAATAAGCTTTACACTACATGGGTCAAATACTCAAGAAGTATATCCCTGTACTTAGATGATTTCCTGAGTGATTAATACTTTGCTACATAATTATGTTTGTTAGCATGAGTAGTTCTGTTATATGTCTGCTTTATCATGCAAGTCCTGTATCACCCCAGAGAAACTGTACAATTTGACATTTGCAATAAGCTAGTTGTATTCACACTGATGTCAAATAAAATTTGGGAGTTCAACCAAATCCTATTGGCATGAAATATTACTGTCATGATTACACATTACATTTTTTGTAAACATAAATTACAAAAGTTATCACATTCCAGTATTTACCAGACGCATTACAGGTCATCATTTTGAAAGGTTTTTGATATATTCATGAATTAGTAAGACTTTCGGAAAAGAGTCACGTGATTAACACTAAGAGTGTTCTTTTTAACAATAAAGAATTTTTAAAAGGCTTACTTTCATGAACAGAACATATGTTCAAATAGCAAAATAAAATATCATTATAAAAGCAAACATATTTTCTTGGTGTACTGTAGATATAGGGGCATTATGTCGGTCAATATTTCAAGCTCAGTGATCAGATCAGGGGCAAAGCCTTGTCCGGACCTTGTTGTCTGGCTATTCATTATCCAAGCTAGTGGTGCACCATTCTGCTCTGCTTGCTACTGCCCTCTAGGGTCTGACCAGAGAAGTACCCAGGATTATGTGTCACATACTTACACCATGGTTTCTTATCTAGTTACAGATAATGGTAAAGAAAAAAACAAATTAATTAAATCAGTCTGCAAAATTTACTTGTCAGGTTATATTCTCAGTGTTTGTTGCAGGTAAATAATCCTTGTAGAGAAACTTCTGCAGTCTAAGAATGTTATGACTAGGGGATCACCTGGCTAGATTATAGCCTCCTGTTAATTCAAAAAGGTGTGTAACCAGCATAACACTGCATTCATTAGTGGCACCAGTCAAACACTCACTTCTGGCTTGTTTTGGATGGTCTGGCTGTGTACCTGTCCTTGTGAAACAATCAGAATGGCTGGTGTTTACTGGTGACAGTGTGAATATGTCTGGATAACACTGTCCTTTCGCCTCTCTCTCCATTTCTCTGTCTTCCCTCCTCCATGCACGCCTTATGCCTCCTAAATCCCTGCTCCCATCACGCTACTGTAGCAAGCAGAGCAGCTCTTCAGCCAAATCAACAGCAGTGTAAGTCCTAAGTGGTACGCTGTTCTGGTACCATCATAACTCCACTCAAGTTATACTAAATCAACTGGAAAATCATGTCTCCCCAGACTCTACACATCGGACATTTACATTTTGTTTTATAATCACGTCCTCCACATTGTTTCCTTGTTTTCTTTAACTTATTCACCATCCAGACAATTCTGATTTTCTGCAAAAGCCATATGAAAGTAAATGGCCATAGTCTCAGATATATAATTTCCAATGTTTTGAAAATAATCTTCATATCTTATTAAAGCTGAAAAGCCAGAATATTAATATTTAAGACCCTTTTTATAAAGGATTAACCAGTTATCAAATTAAAACACTTAAACATCTAAAATATTAATATTTAAACTTATTGGAAAACAAGCAGTTAAAATTATGTATATGCAATGTAAATAATTTGTTTCACTATTTGAATTTTTTCACACCATTTGGCTAACAATGAAGCCCAAGCTGCAGATATTATAACCATGCAGCCTTTTGTTCCATTTGGAACATCTTAGTGCTTTTCTGTTAACCTGTGTTAGCTTTTCCCTGTTGTCCATACCCCAGTATAGCCTAGTGTGGATTTTTTCCTACACCAAATGTGCTCACTTATCTCTGGTCTTCATTTGTTTGGCTGTGTTGGCCGTGTCCTAATTTTTGCCTGTTCTGTAATACATGATCCACATTTAGCCTTTGCTAGCATTCTTGTGCTGCATATCTGTATATTTTGTGTATGATTTGTCTAGCTCTTTGTGTGTTGTGCATGTCTTGCTAAATAGCTACATAGCACAGAGTAGTAACAGGTATAATTATGATATTACTGTTAAGCCTGATTTTGCTTTTCTGTATTTGGAGCAGGCCCTGGAGACAGATCAAGGCCGAAGCCACCCCGAATTGGTGGACAAGGCCAAGCAGTTAGAGCAGGAAGTGTCCTACTACAAAGAAGAGTCGCACAAGGCCCAGGCTGAAGTGGAACGTCTGCTTGAAATCCTAAGAGAGGTGGAGACAGAGAAGACCGATAAGGACAAAAAAATCACTGACCTGGAAAGGTAAAATCTCTGTTCATTTTATGTAATCCCTTAACAGGAGCGAATAATTTTTCGCATTTATCCCGCTGGATGTTGCTAATGGAAATCCTGGTGTGAGGTGCCTTTCCATAAAAGTATGACCACACATCCCATTGTGGGGCTTAAACTAGCAGTCTCCAGGTTACATTCTGTGTCTGTAACCTTTATATTTTCTGCTTCTTCTGTTTTCTGGCTGGTTTTGTGTGTGGAGAAGCCCAGTTCCGATATAATAAAAAGAAAACCACATTCTGTACTCATGCAATTATTTTTAAGTTAAGTATAATCTACACATTAGCCTAAAACCCTAAACACAAATATTGATTTTAAAAAATCCCCTTTCTCCTCCATGCCTTAATCCTCAGAGGGAAAAAGGTTCCACCTAGGAAAAACTGTAATTTTGTGCTTTCTCTGTTGTTTTATTTCATGATGGCTTCTCTCTGGTTGTCACCTTTGTGCTGAGTACGAGTGGCCCTACCACTGGAACTCATAGCACCGATTCCTTTGCTGGATGAGGTTGGTGATGAATTTTGTGAGGTAGCAGTCAAACCTGATCTTTCCCTAAATGAAGCCTGCATTTTGTAGTAAAACAGCACTTGCTCTTCCCCTGAATTACTATGGGTGCTGTGCATTGGAGAATTTTGATTGACAGGTCAGGCTGGCGGCCTGGGGTTCCAGCAATTACAGTCTGTCCTCTACAGAAACATAAAACACAGTCAACCTTCTGCTGGTTCTGGTCTGTCTGTAGTCTGTCTTTTATCAATTTAACTCTCACATACACACTCTTAGTTGTGCCTGTTTCCCAATTTTGTTTATTTGTAGCTGAAACAAATCAGTACCGATGCACTGAACTATTGAGCTTGATTTTGTGCAAAGTGATGTCTGCAATTGGTGAACAAGGGACAAACAGACGTTAGCATAAATATTAAGTCAAAGACTTAGGTTAGTAGTGGATTTGCTGATTTATTTATTTCTCTGAGTTTAAAAGTAATACAGTGGTACCTTGGTTCTCTAACTTAATCCGTTCCGGACTCCAGATCGAATTTCTCCTATAAGAAATAATGGAAAACCAATTAATTGGTTCCCGGCCCCCAAAATATGTTTTTTTTT